AAAATATTTTATATGCTATTGATTTATTAATTTTGATATGAATGTTTTCAAATAAACATTAAATATTTTTTAATGTTCACTACGTCAGTACATTGACCTAAGAAAAGAGCAAAATTTTAACAGTGCAATAGATACATCAATAGATAATTTACTTTCTATAGGAGATTGAAACTTTATCAGGGAATAAAATTGGGAAAAAGCGGAATAAAAAGGGAATTATTTTTAATAAAAAAAAAAAAAGTGAATTCCCTGAATGATAATACGACGGCATTAAATTCAGTTTAAACATATCCAAAGAATTTCTATTATTTTAATAAATGAAAATGTTTTACAGAAACTACAAGTTTTGACAACATCAACCAGTTTAAATTTAAGGTATATTCAAATTTTCCATTTATAATATAATTGTACTATTTATGTTGTAAAATATTTAATAAATATTTATAATATTTTTTGAAGTATAAAAAGTTAAAAAAACTAAAGTTGTTGCAGGAAAGAATAAGTGTTCAGACTGTCGAATAATAAACAAATATTTGTTTAAATGATGTAGCACTGAAAATATTAGTTTATTTCTGGCTTGGATGAAAGAATTTATGATTAATCTATAAAGTGGAATAGCGATCCATTGATTTTAATTATTGATTAGTGCAAATTGCCTTTCCACCATTATGCTATTTTGCATTTAAATGATAAGTGATTCGTCGAGGCGATCTGCCTTATCGTATGGCAAAACTTCAACTCTAGTTATATTAAAGAAAACTACATGTGACAATAATTTTGAGTAGCTTCAATAAATCATGAATCGCGCCTTCAAAGAAGAACATTTGCGAATCAATAATACTGCAGTCCACTGATAATAGTATGAAATAATATAATTTACATTCATGAAATAATTGTTAATAGTTGATAGTAAAAAATAAAGTTACAAATTGTAATATGTTACAACAACTGAATAATTATGTTGGTTCAAGATCGCTTGTTAATTTTTAATTTTTTATTCGTATAAAATATTGTATGAATATTTTCATGATAAGATGAAAATCAATTGGATTCAATTATATTCTCCCGACATCTCAACATCTGATATATATATATATATATTAGAAGATTTGACTAAACTAGTTGTAACGATAAATTGGAGAAATATAAAACAATATAGTGAAAACAATAACAAGTGACGTTATAATGTTCTGTGCCTACAGTAATATAAAATATAAAAAGTAAAAAGTCATTTAAGCTTTTAACTGTTATAGTTTAATTTTAAATTTTATTTTAATTTTAATTTAAGTTATAAATAAATTTTTATTATATTTTATTAATATAAATTTGTTATGTTATTAAAAAGTTAGAGAATAAGTTACTAATAATATTATTGTCAATAATATTATGTTTTTATATCATGAAAAATGTTAAACTTTCGTGTTTCTTTGTGAATGATGGGAAGTCTAGCTTACCTCACTCACATAATAAATTCATAAATTCAACCAAAGGTGACATAATAAATGCGCTTGAGAAATTTCACTAATATTGTACACAATTTGAAGTCTGTAAAATAGCGCCGAAAAGGAACTTGTAAAATGTAAAGTTCACAAAGGAACAAAATAAAAATATAATATTATATTATATTCAACTGTGAATTAGAACAAGGGACATCTTTTATTGACAGATTGAATTTATATATATATATATATATATATATATATATAAAGATGTACACACACATTTTATTCAAGTAACAAGTCCAATAAAGTATTCTGCACAATTCTTTGCTTACTAACGACTTTTTAAAAATTTTAATTTTACATTAAATAGTATGTATTGTAGGATGTGAATTATTATTAATGTTATGTTTTGATGCTTGAATATAGATGAAGGACAGAAATAAGTACGTTATTAAGATGATTATTTTGATGACTATGTGTCGCAAACAACAGTCTAAATATAATGTATGTCAAAAAATTCTTTATTTAATCAATTATTTTCAAGAAAAATGAGATGCAATTATAGATCTGAATAAATATTCAAATAAATATAATATTCGAACAAAGCAATTAAAATGATCGAATATTTAATATAGAACTTAATTCAGAAATGTGTTTTATCATAAATTTGCAGCACTGGTAATGTTTATATTATTCACTTTAATATTAAATAATATTTTCGACAAGATACCATTTATATATATAAATAAAATCCTTTTTTTTACAAGTTTTAATTTCATTTATGAATGTTTTATACTAAAAAAACTTTGTATTATCACCACCTATATAATTCTAAATATTTTAAGATTATACGTTTATAGTTTAATCTGTCATTTTTGAAATGTCAATTAAATAAACGAAAATTAACCAATTTTTTACTTTGTAAATATTTTTACGACCCAAAGAACTCGTTTGTCTCAATAAAATTACGAATCCTGTATAAGAAGAATATTGTTCGATAACAAGTAAAACAATTGAGTAAAAGAGGGTAGGTAATAGTATGTATAATAATAATAGGTAATAATATAATAATATATATAATATATAATATATATATATATATATATATATATTATTATGTATATTATTATATTATATTATATTATATATTATATTAATATATATAATATATATATAATAAATAATATAATGATAATAGGTAATAGTAAAGTAATAGGCTAGGCCATGCCAACAAAAGGTCTGCCCTTGTCTATTCTCATTATATTTGAAGCTTATTAGAAATATTGATATTAAAATTTCCTTTTCAAACCAACGAGGCTGCTAATAATCCTACGAACGCACTAATAGCCGTTATATCCAGTATCATCACCTCGAGCGGCCAACATCTCGTCCAAGGTTAATGATTTGCACGGAGTCTGGAACGTCGCCCAGCGAAAATCGACTGTGCTCTCTGTTCCTCCCCTCGGCTTTTCTCATCAGGACTCCTCACCAGGTGGCGTCACCTTTCCTCGCTTTCCTACAGACGCCGTGCGTCCCGCCCCTGTCCCCCACACAGCACCGTACCGCCGGTTAGCCGTCCCGATGGTCACGATTCTCTCATAATAACGAAGGTCTAAAACTTGCTGCACAAATAATCTAGGAAAGCGCAATAGTGCGCGATACACAAACGGGCAACAACCACGCAGAGCGCGTATCATTGAATTTGCGCATTGCTAAACCTGGAAGCTCCTTGTGCACCTTGCACCAATACGGGAATTGGAAAGCTATATTATTGCCGCAGCAGGGAGATAATAAGCGTGGCGATGGTTGGTCGCCGATAAGGAAGCGGCCCCATGGGAGAATAATCGCCAAGCGTGAATTCGAAGGGGCCGCACGGGGCATCGCGCCTGTTCGCCGTGCAATGGAAGGAGGGTGGGGAAGCGGAGCGTCGAGGGGGAGTCGGGGGAGGGGTAGCGCACACGCATACACGATTGGAGGCGCACGGCGGCCCAGCCCTGGTGGCTGGATCGAGGAGAGCCGTGGATAGGTTGAGGGTCGTACGTGGCCGTTGACCCTACGCAAATGCGTGTGCACACAGGCTCCTCGAGAGCGTTGGCTCGCCTCCGCCTTCGTCGGCTTCATCTTTGTCGCGATCCAGTGAACACTTTGCTAATTCCTTTTTTGCGAATGGAGGGGAAGATAGTAGGATGTGGAGTATCGGTTTTCGGGATAACGTTGACACTCAGCAGGTCGCTCGTCGTTACTTCTCAACCCCTCCTGCCAGTTCCCATGAGTTTTGGGCGAGGATTATTCGAATGCTTCGGGTTTTATTATTTCAATACGAAGTGTTCCATTTAAGGAATAATTATTTATGTCCCTCCTGTGATACAAGTTACATTTATTTATCGATTATGTCATTCGCGTTGAAATATATTGAAACATTCGTTTTATTGTCATAAGAAGTCGGTACACGACCCCACTGTGCTGTACTTAAAGTTCTTTTACCGTTTTCAATTTATACACTGGATTTTAAATGCGCGATATTATTTATTCAGCGACACATGTCGTGACTATAAAATACTTAATACTTACATTTTTACCAATCAAATAGTTTATTCTGGTGCATCAAAGATTTATAAAACACATAAATTTTGATTGTTCTTTAGAAAATTTAAAGCAAGTTTATTTCAACATATTGTTGTATGGGATTTCGGTCGATTTTACGAGAAAATTGCACTTTGACAAAATCTTATAGATAAATTATTCATCCATCTTTATGTGAAATTTATAAGTTATGTTTGAACATTTTTATGTAACTTTATAATGCCGTATTTTCATATTAATTTTGACTCGTATATTAATTACAATGTATTTTTCAATATACTTTTAAACTACCCAACATTTCTTATGACACATTACAACGTAACATTGTAACTGTCAATTAATATTAAATACTACTACTACTACTGAGATTATATATCTTCCCAATCTAAATATAAACTTATGCGAATCGTATAAAAATAATGATGATCTTTAAAATAAATAAAAAGCTCACTCTTCTAAAAGTGTAGAGATTTGTTTTTAAACCGTTGCGATTCGATAAAAACTTCAGCTTTGTCATCAATTGTTAATCCAAGACACCATTCAATCCAAATAAATTATATTTTATATTTTTTATATTATATTTTTCATTAGCTTAAATCCAATTCACCCGCGGTATTAAAAATATCATCGGTAGTATTATATATAATACTTATCATTATTATCAAGAATTTATCTATAATTTTAAATATATGTTCATAATCTTAAAATGTATTATCCACGGCTACGTATTGATGCGCTAGTAATAAAGCTTTGAAATATTAGATAAGGAAGTAAAGATTTTTATAAATAAAATTGATATGTGTTAATCGGATGTTACTGTCTTAGACTATAATACTGCATATAATTATATATCCATAAAGTACTATATACTACAAAATAATATTCATATAATAATGCTTATTAATTTTTTTTATTCGCATTTAATGGCTGTTTGAGAAACTAATTTTCGTATATTTTTTTTATATGCATTTGCAGTATCCCAGTAATATATTAACAAGTGGCTTATTGGATAACACCGAATATAAAATAGCGAGTGTTGGTACTTTGTCCATGAAAATACAAGGTATTTCATCATCAGCTAACGATTTGTTAAAAAGACTTTTACAACCAGAACCAAAGCTGCGAATTAAATCAGTACTGGCACTTCAACGTATTGCTTTTTACATGGGTCACGATATTCGAAGCTACACTTCAAAGAAGGTTAGGACTTTTTGGAAAATGGTACTATAATGCAAGAAATATTAACAATCCCATCACAAATGCTGAGCTTTTTTTATCACCGTTTCTTTGGTTTCCTTTTTCACTTTCTAGTTACTACGATTAAGTATGGTTTTATAAGATGTCACAGTTCAAGATTTTCAAACTCTCTTTTCATTTCATTGATTTCTAAGTATATTTTCCGTTTTTAAATGCATTTTATACACAATAAATAATTATGTTTATTAATAAGATACTGCTATTCGACAACATTTCAAACAACCCTAATAGGTAGACGTTTATATTCTTTTCATTAGGAATATATTTTTGTTATAATATTCCATTTTTCTTTAAACGAGTATTATTAATTTTACTTACAACTAATATTATATATTAAAATTATAGAATACAAGGTACATAATTTAAAAATTAATTTAATTATGTATTTTTCGATCATTAAAAAATACTTATTATTTCAGGTATCACCATTTAAACTTATTGGCAGGGCGATTGAGCAAATCCCAACATCGCCAATAGAGAATCATTTTTATGATTTTGATTCGATAATTGAAGCCGATTAAGAAGAGTATTGTGAATATATTTTACATTGATCTTCCAATCAAACTCAGTACAAATGAATTAAGATAATGTTTCATAATTAAAATTTCAGTAATTTAAATTGTAAGCATTATTGCAGAATATTATTTAATATTATGTTCCTTTTAATGTAAAAGGTTTATACACTTATAATATATGTTTATATTTAATAATGTGTACCTAGAAAAATTGTAGGCCAGAATATATATAAATCTCTTTAACGTTCAATGTCTCCATTATTTATCAGTTTTTTACGTTTAACTTAACCTCCTTAATAGTATAATTTAAAAAAATTCAAATGTTTATATTCATTTTATAACATAATATAAAATAATCCATTCTTTATAGTTTTGTTGTTGCAATTATATTTTTACAATATTTTTGTAATGTAAAAGTTTTTAAATTATCTGAAAAAATATATTTATGAATTATTGTATTATTTTCATCTTCGAAATTTGTTTCTTTGTGTATACATGCTAGAAAATGTTCGTTAGTTTGATTTTAATAACTATAATAATATATATATTTTTTGAATCTAAAATTTCCAAGACTATTTATCAGACCTTATTATTTATTGTTTCACACAAAAGTCTCATGCACGAAAATATGTGATATATGACAGATAATTGATGTATGAATTACTTCTTGGAAAGGAATGAAATATAAAGTACGTAAATCTAACATCAGTTTACAAAAGTTTTAATTTTTTTAAGAATAGTTAACAGTATTTTTGTTTGTTACAATATTTCATTAATAATACAGTACATTGCAATAATCGAAGTGAGTACAAACTAATAACAAAAAATAGAATGGTTCCAAATAAAAAGCGCAGTATTTCTTGAAAAATCGCTTGAGTAGAGTGGCGCGATTTTTTTTAGAAATGTTGATTTTTATTTTTTAATTTTTAATTCTCATACACCTCCCGCACCCCCACCCTTCTACATTCTTGGCCCTATTTTAGGTAATCGCTTCATTGTCCTCATACGACAGAGGTGCAAATTAATTAATGTTTACATTATAATAGTTATATACAATGTTCTTACACTAAAGGGCCTTCTTTGTCTTTTTCGATATAATACAGTATTTCCTTCGTTTATTCACTTTAGACCGACGCACAGAGTAATCACACAGTTTTCAATATTTTCATTTATAACCTTCACTGTTTCTTGAAAATTTACGTATTTGATGAGCAAATTATACATACTTTTTTTGCAAATACAAATAGATAATAAATCACAATTGGTAAAAAAAAACCATTGCATTTACTATATATAAAATTTAATAAATTTGGAAAAAAATTTTTCAGAATAAAGTAATAAATTATTTACGAATTTGGTATACAAATGATTAAACTTAACATACATTAAAATGATTATGTACATTAGCATTATTTTAGTTGATCGATAGGAAAAAGCAGATTTCATTGCAAACTTTGTATGTACAGACTCAGTTTTACGTACGCAATTCTGCATAAGCACGCAGTTTCAGTTTCATAAAAATCATCATCGATGCATTTTGAAAGTTGACACTTAACTTCATTCGTATCGAACAAATAGTATTTTCTACTTTAATCGATTTTTGTGTATTAAGGAGGGCGTTAATAATATTTTTCTGACACTTTACTACTTATTTATATTTTGTTTGTAGACACGAATAAATTTCATTCGTGCTTGAATGTATTTCGCAATAACTAAGTTTTATTTAATTATTCGAGAAAGATCAAAAAATTAAAGGTTCGATTGCAATAATGGTCTGCAAGTGATCGTTTATATTTATTTTTATTTTTTCGTTCTAAGCCACGTGCAAAAGCAATTAAGATTGGCAAAAAAAAACAACATGCCAGTCAGTTACGTGACAAATCTTAAAAATGTTTCTTTCAAATTAATTTTGAACTATACTAATTATTACATCGCGTGAAAAAATTGAAAATAAGCCCTCTGTATTTTCTAAGTATAATTATTATTGTTGTCATTAAATCTACTAATAAATCTACTGTCACTACATCTACTTATGTTACAGTTAAAATGACCGTCCGTCCAGGTAACGATACCAGTAAATTTCATGTTTTACTTAGAATTATTATTTTACAAATTTCAAAGTTGGAGATACGTCAATTTTTATATTTCAATCACATCTACATTGTTTGAACTTATGATCTGCGGCTCGTGCAAAATTTTTTAATAAACTATTCATTGATATCAAATAGCAGACGAGTTTCATAATTTCTCACACATACATATGAATATATATATTTACACACACGCGCGCGCGCGCACACACACACACACACACACACATATATATATATATATATCGAAATACAGTGAATACACACAGTCTTAGCACAAAACTTTCCATTTACGAATTCAAGTAGTTTGACTCCAGCCGCAGATAAAAATTTTTTTTATTTATTTTTCCTTCATTTAATTGATACCCTTATGGAAAAATGTTAAATTCATGACTATTGAACAAAATTAATAACAAAATTACAATTCATTGTAATTTTAATTAAATATAAAAATGAATAAGCGGAAATTACAATTTTTTATAATAAATAGGATATTTTTAATTAATAACTATTAAACTTAACAGTGTTTAAAAATATATAGCAATCATTAATATTCATATTTTTACTTAGTTTTAGATCAATTTGAATGAAAATTTTTTCTGAATCACATTTTTCCGATATGGAATGGCACCTTTGTAAATTTCGAAAGAAAGCATCTCGTGTTAGACAACAGCGATTCCGCGAATATTGAGTTCAATACGCACGTCCGAGTGTCTGTACGACTAATTATGCATTTTGTCATCTAATTTTTTGTTTTGTATATGATAGCCACAGAGCACTTTATAAGCCAAAGATATACATAAGCACGATCTATTATAAATAATGCACGATCATTCTTTTACTCTTTTGTACATAAAATACCGAACTTTCTGTGCTTCGTTCTAAGAAAAATGCACGCATTACGCTCGTACGTTACAGTAGATATATTACCATAAACGTAATAGTATACCTAAACCAAGGTAGAATATTTATATGGTGTATCGTTCACATTAGGATGTCATGTTTAAAAATTAGTATTTATGAGTAGTTTTTCTTTTACTTGTTCTCTTTAGTAATTGTTTATGCAGAATAATATTTTAGCGTACAATATCGTTTTCCCTTCTATTATGAAATTGATTCATTCTTACATCTCTCTCTCTCTCTCTCTCTCTCTCTTTCTCACACACACACACACATACGCGCACACATCTACGCACAAAGTATCTTTCTTTTATTTCATTTGTATGTATATATATATATATATATACAAGAATAAAACTCAACGTTATTGAACATAGAGTTTCAAATATGTTTCATTAATCATGCGGAAATTCGTTCGTCGCTCAAGTAAATGTTAATCACTATTTATTTGAAAAAAAATTTCTTTCACTCTCTTTTATTTGATTGTTTCCTATAATAAATAAATAAATGATCTTTTATTCAAAATTCAACCCTTTCTAAACCTATTTTTTGACTGCCCAATAGTCGAATGTAGATTGAAAAACAAATTTTGTTCCTATATAATCAATAATTTAAATCATGAGAAATGTATAAAATTAAAACAATGATTAATTTAAATAAAAAGTAAAACAACTTGCCTTCCAAAATATACAAAATTTTGATCAAACGCTTATTTTATTACTAAACTACCGAAATTTTCGAAAATGGAAGATTCTATTTTTTTCTTATTAAATAATCGGTTACAGTCAATGACACGTAATTTAGTGCCACATTAATAGCAATACAACGACACAATCGTTGAAAAATTATTTTAATAGTGCTACGTATTATATATTTTGTACAAGAGCAATTGTACGATAGAACATTTTTCTTATACGCCTTAATACATACTTAATGTTTATAATAATTAGAAGTCAATGTATTTATTACGACTTATCAAAGCTACCTGAATAAGTGTAAAAACAAAATGAAATACAGCTAAACATTTACTTTAATAATTAAGTAACGGTAAATCACACATTTAAACAAAAACAAATTTACATTCACCTACATAAACATTGTAAGAATAAATGAAGTACTTTTAAACATATATAAATGATCGCATATTTAAAAATCGTTGGTATAATTTATCATGTATAACTTCAAATGGATAATAATTTTAACGGTTATTGTATACGTCATCAGGTAACGCCAATAAGTCGTGTAAAAATACAGAATGATTTTGTGTAATGCATAAATATGTTAGGACTTATTCACACGCAACAAATTTTAGTCAAAGCACAACATCGATCGCATTTATCTTTGCTTTTGCTTTAGAAATTACAAAATTTTACTAAATACAGGTAGGAATGTGGCCTAAAGAATGGCCAATTCTCTCATCCTTCTCTGTCCCCCCCCCTCTCTCTCTCTCTCTCTTCTCTTCTCTTTATACGTACCGTTACGCATAAGGATTATTTAGGAGAATTAACTATTTACTTCATTATCGCTCAAACATTATAGTGAATTTGTTGTGATTAACTCTTTTATTTTTTTTACTTTTTTAATATAACAGCGGTTTTATCGAACAATATTACTTTTTCTTCGATACATAGCACATTGTAAGAAAGCTGAAGATTTCGTTCGTTCCTATCGTCCTCCCCTTTTCGATTTTCGATTCAATGGATTATAATTATTCGTTTAAAAAAATAATTGTCAATAAATTTATAATCTCATTTTTAAATTATTTTTCCTTTTCATTACGTAAAGAATAATTGTATAAATGATTAAAGAATTTGGCAACTATCGTGCACATTACTTTACGACGACACGTAAACGTAATTTCTAATTCCCTGATTAAGAGCAACGACATCAGAACGAATAGAAAAATCACAAATTGTTATACAAGTAAGTATGTAGTGAAGAGGATGAAAAAAGACATGAATTCGATGAACCTTCGCTTATGAAATTGACCCGTCCGTCGTGGACGTATTGAAAATAAGAGAGAAAACAATCGGATGTACGTAGGATGAAAAA